ATACACTGTTAGGTTAGATCCAGTCCCTACCAACCTGGAGCTTACAGTCTAGAAGGTGCTCAAAATGTTCACTCAATGAATAATAAAACTAATCAGTCAACTGGGGGAGGGGGTGAATACAGCTTTGGGGACTGAAGGTCTAAGTCTGTTAAAAATGAAAGAAGTTTTAAAAATTTGTTAAACTCTAAATCTGAACACCACAGTCTGTCTCGTTTCCTTTACCAGGCTGGAAGTTCCTTAACAGTAGCTACCATGGTTTTGTGCATGGAAATCACTAATCAGTACTGACTGTATCAATGAAAAATAAACCTAACTTACTTCTTTTCATAGATATCTGTAAATTTAAAAAGAGGCAGACAGCAGGCAGGAGCATCCTGAAGAATAGATATTGTTTCTGCACTGTAAGACAAAGTTTCAATTAATTAGAGAACATACCATTTCTTCTACATTAGTTATATTTTCAAAAAGGAGTTCATAACATTAACACAATGTGTATGCAAAATAAATTTACTGGTTTCTGATATGTCAGAATTTATTTTCCAGAAAAATTTAAAGAAAGGATTTTAGGGACAAGCCAATGAAAAATATTAAGTCACACACTAGGATTTTTCTCAGACTCAATCATAGGGCTTTCCACAGTTGTGTAGCAGAAAGACACTTTTAGTTCAGAGCAAAAGGCAGAATAGCTTGAATATCTCCTGCCGTACTGTGCTTAATATGTTAGATATGTGTGACTGGAACTCCGGTAGTTGAGGATACACAACTCAATAGAATATAATCTCAACTATGGTTTTAAAAAACAAAAAGGCACCAAAAACACTCAAAGGGGGAAAAAACCCACAAAACAAACAACCAAACTGTTATAAATGATTAGCTTTGAACCACAGGATTATAAATTTTTCCCCTGCTTCTTTTATGTTTCTGAACTTTCCAAATTTTCTTCAATGAATGTTATTTTTATGCTGAGAAAAACACCATAATTTAAAATAATGGAGAAATACAGGAAGAAAAGATCTTTGATCATCCAAACATTCAGAAGAGAGTCTTGTTTTACTTGTTCTCCCCAAAACAGGGAGAACCAAAGAAGAATCAAATCTTATTATGAATAAAATCATTACCAGATTCCTAATACTGATGTAGCTGTAATGTAGACTTATGAGGCTGGGTGTCTATTTGACATTAAGGCTGTATCTGCAAGTTGAGAGCGCAGAGCTTTGCAGATCTAGTCTCTGTGGACAAATCTACCTTCTACTAAGACCTGAAGGGAATGTATTAGACTTTTTTAGGCTTATAAACTTTTACTGTAGAAGTCTACTGTAGAACGTGTTCTGGATGTGGAATATTATTTTATTCCCAAGTGCCTGTCAAGTTTAAACTGTACTTCACCTTTAAGGACTTGAACAGGAGTCAAATGGCTTATTTCTAACTCTATCAATTGAGAATAAATATTATCGTATATGTAATCATCACAAGAGGGCTGGGAATGTGATAAAATCTATTTTTATTATTTCTAAAGTTGTTTCCAGGTTAAATGTTATTTCTTGGAATAAATGGCGTTTTTTTTACCTCAGTAAAGACAGTGATTTATTAGCAGCTCCTGTGGCAAGTGAGACCAGGATCTTCTTGCTACCAATTTTGTATCTGTGGAGGCTATTCACTGCACTGATTGCTTCTTGTAAGTTTTCCATCTGAACAACAGCCTTGAGCTGATAATCTGTATGGGGGCTGAGCTCAACACTCCTCACCTACAACAGTAAAAAAGGAAAACAGAATGCGATGTGTACCCAGAGTTGTGTCATCTTAAAACTGAAGGTGAATCATTACGGACCACGCTTGTGGATTTCAGTGCTTTCATGAGGGAACTTGTCTGAATTCTGCACTTCTGCCAACCAGAACATAAGTAAGCTAGCGTAAGGTGATATTTAGAGACATGAAACTGGCCCGGTCTGCCTCTATACTCTGGCATGCACAGGTCTCCAAGGCAGAGTTGGAGGACAACACATGGGAGGAGTCTTAGGGGTCTTTTCCAGACCCTGCAAAAAAAACCTGGGGCATAGCCATTTTAAGAATCTATAAAAGGTGCATTTTTAACCAACTGCACCTAAAAACTGAGTCAGATACAATAAGATATAAACAAAACAGCCGACATTTAAAAATTCTATTCTGTATTGTAACAGGTAAAGCTAAGTAAAACCCATCAATGTTTTATTTCTCAAAGTGCCATTTAAACCCGTACTTAGAACAAATGTTTCTCCCTGCTAGGTTTCTTGCTCTCTGGGGCTATATCCTAAAAACCGGATATATAGCATGACCCCAATCAGACCAGAGGGAAAAGGAAAGAGTTCAAACCCATTTGAGTCACCCTAATATCCTGGCTGTGGTTACGTGTGTCAAATTAAGTTCCTTTTTTTTTTTTTTTTTTTTAAAAAGATGACCGGTAATGGGATCTTAACCCTTGACTTGGTGTTGTCAGCACCACGCTCAGCCAGTGAGCGAACCGGCCATCCCCATATGGGATCCGAACCCGGGGCCTTGGTGTTATCAGCACCGCACTCTCCCGAGTGAGCCACGGGCCGTCCCAATTAAGTTCCTTTGACATGAAATTCCAAAGGGTAAAACAAAAGGAAGAACAAGAGGGAAGAGGATACCTTGCCATGCCTAGAAAATGCTTCATGCACGAGCTGCTGCAGCTCCTTCCGGGATAATCTGTAGTCTATGTTGCTGACCTGAATGTCAGCACCATTTGCATATGGGTCTAGGCAGTCGGCTCCGCTGCTCGAGCTTGCAACGTTGAAAGCAAGTGGGGAGGCTCTGTTTAAAAGGTTTGGAGACACGCTCCTGCTAAAAACACATGTATTGAGATTATTTTTAAAAAACTGTTCTGTGTATTTAGGTTTTATCATTTAGGCTCTGTTTGAAGCTATATAAAGAAACAGAGCTTTCCCACAATACAACCAAACTAAACATCTGGTTTCCAAATGTGTTTTTAATCTTAAATATACAACTGACTTAGATTTATTGTCAAAAGTACTATCTGTTGACCCCTTATAATAACCAATAAATTATTTAATATCAGATATTCTTTCATTAGATTATTTAAAGCTAAAGGTGGAAATTACAGGCAGCCCTGATGAATTAACTTTCTGCTCTGGGCATTTATTCTTAGGAAATTATCCTGTGATACCAACTTAAGTCGTTTAACCTCCCTTGTGGCTCTGAAAAAGCTAGATATTCTTGCTCATATGCTGCAGTCCTTCTGCACATGAGGAAAACTTTTATATGAATTTTTAGATGTAATTTTTCAGGTCCACAGTCACTTTCTATAGTGATCCTTCACTGAGCCAGCAAAACAAATGCAAAGTGAGAAGGAGCTCACGGCAATGCAACAAGGCTTATGGCTCCTTTGTCTCCCGAGCCTAAATAATTAGCTGGCATGAGCTTACAAAGCTTGGATAAGGTAAGTGACAGATAATTACAGTAGTTTACAGAGACCCCAGCTTCTCAAACAGCTTCCTATAAAGTATCATATTAATAAGAATAACCAATCTGTGCCTAGTGTGGGCTTTTTCCTCAACCTGATGAATGTAAGGACATCTTAACATGCCTCCCATCACAGGCCAGGTACTCCAGGACAGGCTTCTCTCTCTGACTTCTGCTTACCAAGATTTCCATATGGAGGAGGGAAAAATGGTGAGAAACATTGCCCCTAAATGTTAGCTATGATAACCTGCGGAAAAGGGGATTGGTGGAGGAGAGATGTAAGGGATGAAGACTTATCTTTTACTCTGTGCACTTCTGTATTGTTTGAACTCTTTTCAACAACCATACTATTTTGTAATCTTTCCTACTGCAGGTAACCACTCCCATGGGTCAAGAAGATGGACTTACCTAGAAGACCAAGACTGAGATGTGAGCAGAGGACTGACTTGCCTTGATGCAATCAACCTGCTAAAGGCAGATGGGTAACTCACTTGGAATACAGTCTCTTTATCTTTTTTCTCTACTGGAGAACTGGTAACACTTCGAGCACTGAGGTTCTCTTTACTAACAGAAGAGAAAAATTGAAGGGAAAAGGTCATATGTCTGCCTTCACATTAAAGCAGCAAATATGAGAAAGAGCAATGTAACATACTTCTGATTGGTTTTGTAAACTGATTCTGCCATCCCCAAGTTTTTAGACGTCAGCACTGCAGCATTTGAGTTACTGTGAGGACATGCTACCGGCCTCATGCCTCCTTGCTGGTGCTCACTGCTTCTATTACCTGCCTTTGACTCCATGCGGCACAGCTCCTTAAAAGACACAAGTGCAGTGGGGTTTAAAATTTAAGTACTCAAGATGTGTTACATCCTGTACAGAAAATAACTGCCTTTGAGTATCAAAAACTGAAATAAAAAAAGGACATACCCAAATCAAGCAGGCACATAAAACAGAAACAAAGAAACCAAACCTACCGTAAACTTCAGAAAGCAAGAGGTATCAAAATTACCTGTAAACTTTTAACACTTGTACTTCTTGCAGTAGATCCAGAATTTGCCTGCAACCCTTTTCCAGGCATGGCTTTGGCACTGGAAGATTGTTCATTTGTATCTTTGATGAGGCACAGTTTTGAATTCTTAAGTTTTTTGGGGGACTTCACTTTATCAGCAATTGCACTTGAACTCTTTGTTTCACAGAGTTCTCTATTTTTTGGAGTAAATGACACGATGATCCTATTACCAAAGACATCTTCATTTTCCATTCGCTTCTGAGCCCGTTCTGCACTGTCTTGGTTTATGAAGCGGAGAATTGCACTGCAGCCCGTGATACTCAGCACTTTTCCACCACAGTTATCAGACAGGCGTCTGAGCCTGTTGCTGATGCTCTTGCCGTCTTTATTTGCTGGTAGATTGTAGACGTAGAGCAGAGTGTGGCACTGCTAATACAGAGGAAAAAAATGTTACATCTGGTTAACCCAAGGGCACACATTCAATCTCAAAATAAGAACAGTGAGTGATCTCTAAACTTCAGCTAACACCCTTGGAGGGGAGTGATAGTGATTTAGCTGGGAGAGGGTAAACTTATCTAGTGTTGACAAAGGAACAATGTTGTTTTGAGGAATATGCTAAGCACGGAAGTCTGCATATTGTATGATTCCATGGCCAGAAAAGAAAAATATGCAGAGACAGAAAGATTAAAAGCTTCCAGGGGGTAGGAATGGGGATTAACTATAAACCAGCATAAGGGACCTTACTGAGGTGATGGAACTATTCTAAAACTGGTTGCACAACTTAATAAACTTACTAAAAAGCAATGAATTTTATACTTAAGAGGTGAATAGGGCCGAGCCCGTGGCGCACTCGGGAAAGTGCGGTGCTGGGCGCGCAGCAGCGCTCCCGCCGCGGGTTCGGATCCTATATAGGGATGACTGGTGCGCTCACTGGCTGAGCGCGGGGCAGCCGGTCTCAAGAAGGACAAAAAAAAAAAAAAGAGGTGAATATTGTTAAGCATAAATCATATCTCAATAAAGTCGCTTTTAAGAAGTCTATTTTATTTATTCAGCAGGGCTGTTGAATATATAAAGTTAGAGCCTGTCCAGCTACAATAGCAGGTTGCCAGTAGTCAGCTTGGAAGTTCTATTTGGCAGTGGGTGTTCAAAACCCTTCCAGATAAATTGAAATCTATGTATTAAGAAATAGAACCATTAAAGTACCACAAGAAAAGATAATTACAGAAAGGGTTAAATCCAGAAGCCATAAAAGAAATCACTAAAAATGGTCAAAGGATGTGACTAATTTACAGGAGAAATATCAAGAGCCAATAACAACAATAATAAAAGGATATATTACACCTTGCTAATGATTAATAAAATGGCCAACTATAAGCAGATACCATTTTTCACCTATCGGACTGGCAAATATTTAAAATAGACATTCTCATTTATTGTTGATAAGAGTATAAATTAGTACCACCTTCCTGAAGGACAACTTGGATCTTGTTAGTAAAACTCTTACCCAGAACTTTCACCCTTTGGAACTTACCCCTGTGGACTATTAGCCCAGGAACCCATATTGATATGGAAAGACATCTAAGCTATGACATTAAGTAAAAAAAGAAGTCATACAATCCTGAATATGTGACACTATTTTTTTTTAACTACATTTTAAAAATTTATCACATTTTTAAAATTTGGAGGACAATACCAAACTGTTAAGACCGGTTACCTNAGGAACCCATATTGATATGGAAAGACATCTAAGCTATGACATTAAGTAAAAAAAGAAGTCATACAATCCTGAATATGTGACACTATTTTTTTTTAACTACATTTTAAAAATTTATCACATTTTTAAAATTTGGAGGACAATACCAAACTGTTAAGACCGGTTACCTCTGGAGGGTCAGATAGTAGAGTTTTCACCTTCCACATTTCTGAATATTTTTTGTGTTTGTTTTTACAATGAACACATTACTCTTCTAATCAGAAGCTTTTCTTTTTATTTGAAGGGTGCTGACAAACCATCAACAAAATCTACACTCTTCCTATTATACCTGGGATTTAAAACCCAGGCAGTATTAATATATGTTTAATTTATTAAAATTAAATGGACAGACTAAAGAACATAAAAGAAAAAGAAACGTATCTTACTTTAGTGAATGGGAAAAAAACATCCAGCAAGACTGAATGTTTTGAATAANAATCTTTTTATTTATTTTGTCACCATAAGGAATAAGAATCTCCAAAGTGGACAAGCTCTCACCTAAAATACTGCATTTGACTTAAAGGCCTTCAGGTTAGAAAAGTTAGTGCCAAACAAAAACAGGAGGGAGGAAATATAGCTGTAGCCAAAAGACTAAAAACAATGAATAACGACAAAGGCGAGTTAGGAAAGAGGCTCAAACGACTGAGGTAGAGTCTGTGTATGTTACTCCTTGGGCAAGACTCTGGTATTCCCAACTGTGGATTGTCCATAGCATGTGTTTCATTGTGGCCCAGAGTCTGGGCTTGCTGGGTATCAGGTAATATAGTGGGACTAGCTGGGCAAGTGCTTAACTCACTGGGGCCAGGGTGCCGCTCTGCTGCAATCGCTAATGACTTGCTTACTTTTTCTAAGCACTGACTTCTTCCTCCTTTACTTAAGGATGTTGGATGAATAATTTCTAAGGTACTTCTGTAACTCTAAAGTTATTAAATTATACCTTAAAACTGCATTTAATGTATAGGACTGCCCATTCTTCTGGACCACCCACACAATAGTTCCTCTCCACTATTATTACTATTTCTGTAAGAGTTCTCCCAACAGCTTAAACACAACTCAGCAATACAGCAAACATTCTTATCCCAAATCATCCTCTTATGCTCACAGTCTCCTAGCATGTGGCTATGTTTAGCAGTAACCACTACTCCTAATTGTTCATGTGCATGACACAGAATGCAAGTATAAAAAGCATAAGTTCAGAAGCCTGTTGGAGCTTAAGTATTAAATGCCTAAAAACTGCACAAAATTCTTTGACACCAACCACACGAGTATGTACAAGACCTCACTATATTCTCTACCATAATACTTGGATGCAAAAAGAGTAATGACTTTTTCTTATTCCATTATTTCCATCCATTTGGCACGAAATACTGCTAGCTTTGGAGATACTGGCAAGTGGCTGTTGGTAAGGTAAATCTACAAATCAATTTTCTATAATATTTTGAAAAAAATAAAAGCAAAATCTATATGTATCAATTCTCTGTATATTTGTTTAAAAAAAAAAAAACAAAAAAACCTGAAGGTTTCCAAGTTTTATGTCAAAACTTGACCAGCCTCCTACAAAGAACAGCCCCTCCTGGGAGTGGTGACCCCCTTGCTAAGGGCTGTCTTTCAGCCTACATAATCTAATAGTGGAAAATGGCAAAAA